GTGCTCCTAAACACCCTCCACAAAAGGGAACCAGCATCCAAGGAAGCACTGGCTTTTTTACCTGCCTCCATTTTACAGGGATTGCTTCTTTTTTTCCATGGTCTTCTGGTTGCTTGTAAAATGCTGGACTCCCAGCCTGTTCCTGGGGACCGCTTAGCTGGAAGTTGGCCAGATTCTCCAGGAGGAATCTCAAAAATGCAGCTGAACTTTTGTTCCCTAATTAGGCCAACTTCCCCAGTGTGAGCCCCAGCACTGCATGGCCTGGAGCTCCCCAAGGCCTTGCGCTGCCTCTCTCCCGTGCACCCCGAGTGGATGGCCAGCAGGGCAGTTATTTTCAGCTTTCTGAGGTTATCTACTAGCCTTTTGATGACATCTACTGAAATAGCATTTCTAGTCAGCCATGTTTCCCAGCCTTTCTAGTAGTATCCTCCCTGCTTCGCTACCTTGATGTGGATTAGGGACAATCCCATCAAAAATAATTTTATTAAAAGCTTTTCCTTTCCCACACATTTATTTCATGTTTTGAGTGCTCCTGGACCCACCTGAAGGCAGCAGCAGAACTGTAGGAGTGGTGGAGATGGATGGGAACATGTCTGACAGTATGTAGCACAAGGTGGTAGCAAACTGTTTGAGGGATGTTCATGCCTAGGAGGGCTGGAGGGGCACTGCCCCGTAATGTGGGTTGTGAGGGGATTCTACCTGGTAGCCTCTTGCTCAGAGAATCAGATCGTTGTGTGCTGCTTCAGTGTTTTCATGCAGGTGGGAGCCGTGCCTCTTGAGACAGGTTAAGGTACCAAATGCTGCAATATGACAGCTTTCCTAGCAGGTGCACATGTGAGCTGACTAGGTTGTTTTAGGGAAGAAATTCTTGGTAGCTGTTTGACAATATGAGCTGCTCCTTTACCTGCTATGATAGATGACAGAGAATATTTAAAGCCCCCCAAGAACTTTTTCCATCTCAATAGCACTTTCCCTAGTAAAAGAAGGTCAGTGACCATGAAGAAGGACAGTTTGTGGATGAAATGGAAATCCAGTATTTTCTACTAGGCATTTAAGACATGCAGAAGTTCTTGGAGGGGATTCATTAAAATCAGATGCGCTACTTGAACCATCTGTGGACATGATAAAAAAGGCTATCAGGGGTGGGCTGTTCTTTGCAAAAAGCTGAGGCTTGCATAGATCTGGGAATTGAGCCTTTTTTGATATCACATATGCTCTGAGATCGGTATAGATTGTAAGTGTCATGTGGCTGCTTGGAAGCAGTGGGGCTATTTGACTTACAGCTCCTTAATTGGCAGCAGTCAAAACTAATTCATCAGGCCTCTTTGTGGAGATTTGCTTTTCCTCAGGCAACTTGCTGGAGAAGAGGAAACTCAAGACTGACCATACTTCTTTCTGCTCCGTGGTCAATATTGGATAAAAACAAGGCATCTACATACTGTATAAAATCTCACAGTGGTTGTATATGGAGCAGAACATAGATCTCACGCATTTTAGGAGATGTATTACGTGACAGAAAAATTGCATGTCCTCTGTTGCATGCTGTCAATGTCATTTGAGTCCCTGCTTCCCTGCACAGAGTGGCCGCTGTTTCAAAGGAGTTGTCATGTTGATGGAGGTAAAATTAATCCTATTTCCAGACCCACCTGAGAATCTGAGGGACCCAACATGCCTGTAATCTGCCTGTATCGTGGTAGGTCCTAAAAGAAACTTTGCTGGACCCTCAGGATCCAGAGACACACAGGGTGGTTGCTTCAGTGAGGGAAGCAACCTCCAAATAGCACCTTCAAAACTGCAGACATGATCTGACAAGTGGCGTGGAAATTTCTGCCTTAATGGGGAAGCCAAATTAGAATTCTGCATCTGCCTGATAAGAAAGGGCCTGACTACAGATAAAGAAGGTAGAGTTTCTACTTCAATGCAGGAGAGATGGAATTCAGGCCAGTCATTTTTCAAAGGGAGAGATAAAATACCGATTATGATCGTAGTGAGAAAGTGTTGGTAAGGAAGGCGGCCTGAGAAGTACTGGAAAAGTGCCATCACAAAAATGGTGAACTGAATTTCTGAGAAAAAATAAAATAAAGAGCCCAGACCATGGCAATGTGCCTTGAAAAAGTGGACAATCTGCAGAAACTAAGGTAGAGGAAATCTTCTGGAGATAAATAACTGACAAAACTTATTGGAAGAGCAAACCACAGCAAGCAAGTGGTTAGTTAATGCTGTGAAAGAGACTGAGCAGCAAGAGCTGAAAGAGAACACTGTTGTCAGGAGCTGGTGGAATCTCAGTGTCTTGGACACGAAACCGTTTGGGTGTATAGCTTAGCTTTGCATTTGGGAACATACATAAAAATCTTGCCCAAATATAATACATAGGTACCAATAAGTTCTGATCATTTAAAGCCCCCAGTCTTTTTCACCCAAAAATGGTATGTCCAGGAGCACGTTTGCTCCATTACAGAAGAACAATGTCCTCTGTTTCTGCTCTGCTCTCTCTGGGGTTGACGTTCTTCCCATTTTCTACCTCAAGCTCTTGCTTGCAGCTGCAATGTCCCTACTTGTCACCATATTATGGCAATGCACAACATTGCATTCTCAATTGTAAATTATGCTGAGGTTTTGGAAATGTGAAAGTATATGAAGGCAAGTTTATTTACTTGACAAAAGTGCATGTGGCATGTGACCTTATTACGGCACTTTCCAGGCAACTAACAAAGAAAAGCTATTTATTCTCAGCTGACAGTTAACATTACCTTTCCTGTTGCTAGTGCTCCTGTGGGCAGTTCAAAAAGAATTACCTGATTTATTGCAAGAGGAATAAAAGACCTGTAGGTATATGTGAGGTGTTTGTCAGGGTCTGACAGATGTTCAGGGTTGCCTGGTGTGTATGATCAATGGGAAGGCGTTATAACATTGGCAAGACATTGGAATCAAACCCCTAGATGCTATGAAGTCATGCCCTGTGCAAAGACTGGGGCAGTCATTCTCATCGCCCTTTGATCTCGAGTGCCCAACTTGAGATATCTTGGATCTGAAGGCCAGTTTTGATGATGAGGGAATTAAATTGCAGGTGCATTGCAATGCCCCGGGGATGCTGCATTTTCCCTCAGCCTTATGGCCCAGGTTCTTTGGTGACATTTGTGTAACTCCGTGCACCTTTGCAAGGAGTTGCGAGGCTGTGTGTTGGGAACATGGCTATCTGGGAGATGGTGCGAGGGAAGGAGGGTTGTTTGCATGGGAAGGATCCGTGTGGGAGGGAGTGTGTTTCTGAGGTAGGGGTGTGTGTAATGGGAATAGGGATGTTTATGTGGGCATGCACGCCCATATGTGGTGTGTTTTTCCCCTTTTTCCTGGGCTCTGGGTGTGTCCAGATTAACTGAATTCAAAATGCTCCTTTTTTGGCACTGTAGCCTCTTCTCTGGTTTGGCATCTTAAGAATCTGGGGGAATCATTTAAAGATCAGAAAACTCCATTCACTTGGGCCCCTGAAGGCTTCACATTCTGTGACACGGTCATTCCAGTCGACTGAGCTCTGTCCCCTGCGGATGAGCCCATATAAGGAGGCTGTTTCCTGCGTTTCACGCTCCCTGCCTGTCCCTCTGCCCTCCTGTGCTCCCTTTGCTGAAGAAAGCTGGTATTTTGGGACTGCAGCTCCTGCCTCCAGGGTCGTGCCCCCTCCCTGCAGCAGGCAGCGGCTGCCCCTGGCAGGCTGTCTTCATTTCCCACACTCGCAAACAATGCTTCTGCTTCAAGAAATAAACATGGGAGACCCCCTACCATCAGGGGTTAGCTCAGCCCCTTCCCTGTCTGTGGCAAGAGGTAATTTGGCTTTGGCTCAGGGCTGACCCCACCACACATGCAAGGTCCCCTCTGTCAAGTCAATAATCCTCAGGAGTCACCCAGCCCATTCCCTTTCTTAATAAAAGCTGTGGGAGCCACCTGTTCCCCCCACCATTGCTCCAGCTTAGACTCCTTTGCAGTTACCATTTTTCCCCATTTTGGGACATCTTTTACCCAATCATCCTTTCTCATGATGGTCACTTCACAGGTCCCCATAACCCATCTTCCCTCACTGGGCACCATCAATTGGGAGCTACACAAACTGGCATTCATGCACTGGGTTCGCTTTGCCCCTCTGCTTTCACCACGGCCTGTCATGCAAAACCCTGAAGCCACTGCTGTACAAGGTGCTTCAGGCAGGGGGAATCCAGCCTAAAGCTGCAAAAGGCAGCGGGCAGCTCCCACGTGGTGGGAAATCGTGGTCCTGCTCTTTGGAAATTCCCATCGTAAGCCCCAAGCTGAATTCCTATTTTCTCTTGCTGCACGGCAGAGAAAACACAGGACAATGCAAGAAAATAGCAGGGAGTGTCTTTAAGCTCCAGATGAACTTCCCTTTTAGTATTTCAGTGGTGGCAGTGGTGGGATTCATCTCAGCTAACTTTAGAGGTGTTTGGTATGACTGCCTGTATCTGAACTTGGCATCTAACCTCCTATTCCAGGCAGTGGACAAAAGCAAGACACCTTTTAGGAACAATTCCTCATCTAAAACGAGATGTCTAAAACAAGCTGACTTATACCCTCGGAAACACCTAACATGCGATACCTCCCACTGAAATACGGGCAGCAGTAACAACGGAGTTCCCAGTGAACCATATTTTGCCAGGAGAGTGCATCCTCTGTGGGTCAGTCTGCTACTGTACTGTGCGTCCTGGACAAGTCAAAGGCACACAGACCTGAAATGTGTCAAGATCCCGATTAGAGTGATACACCTTTTGCTTACAGAGACACTTAAAAACCCATCCTGCAATATTTGTCTTCCTTTTATTTTATGAATAAAGAGCATTTTAAACACTATCTCTCCATCTATTATTTGGTAAAGTGTTACTACTTTTAAGTGTTTTGTTGAAGTGTTATTATTTGGTATGTGTGGACCTGGTATCTCAATTGGCTTGATTTCGCCTTGACTGGAGCTGGCTGTAACGTGTCTCTTCTCTTTATTAAAGGGTCCACCACCTAAACCCCCACGCCGGCAAGGAGGCTGGGCAGATGATCCTGTACTGGCACCTACCAAGTGAGTCCTCACCTCTTACCTTATTAAGAGGGGCTTAGTCATGGATTAAGTGAACATCACTAGTTGAGCTTGGCTGTCACAGGCATTGGAACAGTTTTTCCGGATCTTGTAGATGGCCTGTGTCTCCAATATCATTGTAACTTCTTCACACCATTTGAAGTACTGCTCTTGCTTGGTTCCACTGGCTAATGCTCTTTATAAATTGGCCTGGTGGGACTCAGAACTGTGTACGTGTCACTGTCTGCCAGAGGCAGTGTATTCCTTACCTGGTACAGTAACTGGAAGGAGGCAAGAACATAATAAGCATGTTAAATGCAGGAGCTGAGGGGGGGGATTTGACTGGTTGCGTCCTTTCCAGGAGAGTGACGTGTGACAGTGCCCCACTGACAAGAATGCAATGAACAGTTCAGGATTTAGTGATCAGCCTTGACAGTAAAGGTGAAATTTGTCAATGTTTGGGGGTGGGTGGGTGGGTTATGGTATAATGGAGATGGATGGAGATGGTCAGTGAGAAGAGATGGGAGGAAAAAAGTATACAAATTGTAGAGTGTAGGTTGAGAAGCCTGATGCTTATGAAGGACACCTAAGGGAAAGTAAATATCTGGACATGGTAATAGAATGTGTATGAAAACTAAAGGACAGTTCAGACTGGGAGGACATGACTTGGTTTCAAGCTATTTGTTATTTTTCAAGCTGTAAAGTTATGCTGCTGTTATATTTCCTATTCAGAGCTGAAGGGCTCAGTCACGGAGTGGTGTGAGATTGCTTGTATACATTAAGGCCTATAATAAGAGTGTATATGTCTGGACATACACTTTGGAGGCACTCTGATTTATGGAAAAGTTACGTACTTTCTTTCCTGGAACACTGAGAACGAGAGAGGACATCCAGAAAGCTCTGTCCCAGCCCAGTCAGTATTTCTTGGGAGGTGAGAAAGGTGGTCTATATCCTGGGGTAGCCTTTCTGGAAAACAGTACTTTTCTGGGAAAATTATCACTCTGTGTGTCTCTGAAGAATAAATCAGCTGAAAATCTGGAGACTGGAGGAAAGCAAAGGAGTAAAGATCTCAGTCTGAACTCCTTCTGTTCCTCTCCAGTTTAACTCTGATAATGGTATTATTTTTCATAGGCTGGCTGCAGCTAGAAGTTGCCGTTGCAAAGATGCATCTGCCTCAGGGTTATAAAAAAATGCCACCAGTGATCCTGGATTTTTGTAGGACCAAGCAGAAGCTTTATGGAAATGTGATAGCAGAGAACAAGGGTGGATTGCATTGTTCAGGAAAAATAAATTATGTAATTGTTGGCTAGGTGAAGGGCTGGATTGGAGGTAATGCAGTTATTCAGGGCTGTGCCTAATGTGCCCTGAAGGACAGTCTACAGGTTCCTAATGTAACAGCACTGTGCCATGTGCTGCTTTAGGATGTTTTCCATTGTTTGACGTTAGCCTCATCTGATAGATTTGGAGCAGTAGCTCTCAGCAGTGCTTCTCCAGCATCCCAATTGCATCGTTTACAGATACAGCAGGTGTCTGGAGTAAATGCTCCTACCAGGTTGGACGCAATTCAGCTGAAGAAGCAGAACAGGAGATGGAGGGCTGCAGACCTTTCTACCTGTGAGACCCTGCACAGTGGGACATGAGATGAAGATGTGCCCCTTGCTCAGTCATGCATACAATATCATGTCATATCTGACAGCATTCTTTTCATTTGTATTAAGAGCTTTTATTGAATACATTTTATGAAGGGGAGGTTTGTTCTGACTTTCTTCAGTCATATGAGGTACAAGGATTCTGTACAACTAGTTCCCCTGTCTTTTCTTTCCTTCGGCTGTGTATTCTCCCCAAGCTGATCTCTCTCCTTCTCTCCCTTAAAAAAGTCTGAGATGCTGGCCTGTAAGGCTGTCTTTGTGACATATCCCAGAGTAAAGCCTTCGTGTGAAAAGTCTGAGTCATCGGCTGATGTCATACCAATGTTGCTGTAGCTTTGTTGTTTCTGTTTTCTCAGGCTCTATCTCCCCACAGCTTTTCAACCAATCTGACTCAGTTTGGAAGCCCATCAAGTTAACTTGCTCCAATTTTACTAGTGTAGATGTAGTTAGAATAACATGCTTCTATTGGTGTATCTCATGTAGGTATAAGCACTTTTATGCCAGTGTAACTGAGCCTACGCTTGGGAATTGTGCTGCTTAAGGTAATTCGGTTTTCAGAACCGACAGTGTTAAAATCTGTGATTTTTTTTTTTTTTTTTTTACTTAGGAAGGATGAGCAGAGTGGCTACGATTAGATTTTCTGTGTTGTGAAAATATATTGTGGGTCAGATGGGATACTGCAGCCACTTCTCAATCGATCTTGTAGCTGTTTATGTGTTATTCTCTCCCCATTTGAGGTCTAAGCTTTTAGTTCTGTTTCTGACAGATTCAAGATTCAGCCAGTTGCAACTGCATACTTGTTGCTTTTCCAGCAGGGATACTTCAACTCTTTTCTGCTGTATTTCTAGCTCAGAGTCTTATCAATATGCAGTGATCACTTGAAGTTATTCTTTGTGTTTCCATTTGTCACACGTTAAGGTAGAATTTAATTTGCAACCTGTTTTTTCTGTTTTTCTACCTCTGCTGCTCCCTCTTAGTCCCTTACCTGCCTACCTCTTTTTATACCTAGGTAAACTTACAAATATTCTCACCATCTTGCTGATTCTTTCTATCAGACTACTGCTGTGTCAGATGTTGCAAGATAGCAAGAGGAGGAGGGCCCTTAAAGTTTTCCAACCTGTAATTAGTTTTGAAATTAATTCGCACAGGTGGTGTGCAAGTAAGATAAAGTATTTTATCATGAGTTCCCATAGCATTTACAAGTGTCAGATATTTACATTCCTGAGAACTATCAAAATTCCATCTTTTACTGGTAAGTTTTCAAAATTCAAGCATGGAAAGATTACTTTGGGGTCCCCGTACCTCTGTAGAACAGCTGTCATTGCTAGGAGTCCCATTTTGTAAATCTGGATAATGATGAGGACTGCAGGTAAGTGTCTGAGTAAACCCTCAGGCTTGTCCTCTGCAATCAGCAAATAAATGGTGCAAAGTAGTTAGGGAAGAACCTTTTTTCCATACTGACAGGGCCCTCTGCACCTGAATCTGCTGTATTTATTTAAATTTGTACTCAGACAGAAGAATCACTCTCTATGAGAAGAGGCAGTCCCATTGCTGCCCCAGCAATATTCTAGCCCCAGTATTAGAGGATAGGGGACCAGCCAAGAACCTGGGCAGCCACTTGGGGCCTAGTACCCTGCTAAGATTACATAAATAATAGTAATTACAGCTGGTTTTGCTACAGAAGCAGCTCTCTAACCACTGGATGGAGCCCAAGTGCCATTCTGAACACTGTGCTGATGTCCTTAATGACATCAGGGTTGACACTTGTGACAAGCAAAGCAGAGGTTTATTGTCAGGTTATCTCATGCATCAGAAGGAAGAAACACAAAGTGCCTGCCAGTGGGAAAAGGAAAAGGGAACTCAGTTTTGCATACTGGTGAGGATTTGACAAATGAGAGGTGCTTCCAGGATCCATTTCATTCCAGCTTCTGCTGATCTCATCTATCTGACTTTCCTTATAGAATTTCTTCCATTTTTCTCCCTATTAGTGTCTTTATTTCTTTGCTTCTTGGGACACTTCTAGTTCACTTGGGTCCTCGATCCCTTTGGTCTTGCAGTCAGCCCCTTAAAATTCACACAGTTCTGCAGGCAGCAGCTAGGGTTGTTGTGGAATAAACACAGCTTGTTTCAGGTGGCCATGCAAGCAAACGCAAGTGCTGCTTTCAGTAGGAAGACCCTTCCAGTGCCTGCACGTGTACCTCCTTTCTTCTACGGGGATCATGGCAGTTTAGCAACAGGTGCTCCAGCTACAACTGAAATTTCTCCTTTCTGACAGATAGGTCATACAGAGTTGGAATAATCAAGGCTTCTTCAGGAAAATGACCATGCTGAAGTATTTTGGAACAGAAGTGGTGGTACAGCATCCAGGAATGCATTTAACAAGAAGGTGAATATTAGGGGCCTGTAGGAAGGAAGGAGATGCAGTCGGGGTAACCTTTAGAGCAGGGTAACCCAGCCTCTGTGTAGATATCACTTAGGGCTCTGGAGGGTGGGCAATGGTGAGATTGCACCCTGGAGCTGGGGGAAAGTTGTTTAAGAGATTAAAGGGTTTTATGATTCAAGGTCTCTAGAGGTAAGTAAAGTTAAAAACCTCCTGTTTCAAAAATACGGGCTTAAACTGCCCTGTGTTGTATCTATACGAAATGACCCCTGAGAGTGCCTGGTTTATAGAACCTCTAGCCATCCCTGTCTTGCAAGTGGGAGTAGTAAAGTACTCATGAGTTTCTCTGTCTGACATGGTAGGGGGAAGCTTGTGTCATTGCTTCTGCCCTCTACTCCCAGTCCAGCAGTGTTGAGGTAAATCTCAGGCTGGGCTTCCCTGTGTCACTGCCATGTTAGGAGTGGAGCCAGGCTCCTGGCTGTGAGGAAGACGGCAGCCTCACTCTGCATCTTGCAGCCATCTGTGGATGTCCTCAATGATGTGAAGAGTATAGGCACAAAGGATCAAGGCTGCCAAGTGAGGGGGCACAACTTAGAAGGAGAAGAAAGAAAAGGAAGTCTGATTAAGTTTTGTCTTGAAGTGTCTGTTTTTGGGTTTGTCCCTGCATTGATCTGCAAGGGAATGAGGCAAGTAATGGCCCCTTGGGGACCTTCAGGACTTTCCTCTCAATGTCAGCCGTCATTTTCAATCACCCTCTCCCTCCCAGCCATTAATTTTGGCCCAGGATCATGGGGACTTGTCCATCTATCACTCCTAATTGACACTAAATGATCTGTCAGTTTATTGATGAACGGCAGGAGTGGAATTGTCACAATATATTTTACTTTCTAACAACTCCTCCTGACAATTTTACCTTGTCCATCTCACTCTCCTCACATAAATCTCCATTGGCCTCTCATTCCTTCTCTTGGGCT